AGGGTCTACGCATGAGCAGTGAGCCTTCCGGCCTATAATTCCGAGAAATTGCTTTGCAGGGGTTCTTTTTAAATTCGTTGAGTTTCTCCCTAAACTTTTGTTACAAGACTTAGCAATAACGCGGGAAGCAACAGGTGGTCGGGGTTTCTAAAGTTAAGCGAAATTGAAACTTGGTTACATCAGTCGATCAGGGGTAATTTGACAATGTAATTCCTTAAAAGTGAGATGACGCAATTTGGAACTTTTGCTTTCAACCAACGATTAATAATTTGGAAATAAATATTTTGGTTATTTTGTGTCAAAAACAACCCTCAAACTCACCCTTGTGTTCGAGAAGTCCTTCCCAGATGTATCTCTCAATAGGAAAAAAGTGATAAATTCTCTGTTCCCTTGGAAACAATTCTTTTCTGTCAGTTAACTTGGTAACGTCTATTCCTTTAATAATTCTCTTGTTTTATTATTTATTTATCTTTTTAACCCACCTCAAGTTTTAACTTATTGTAAGGCCGTTTCCCTAAAAACCGGGTCAGCATTTTTAGGGGATACGAGGAATAAGGGGAAATCTGGGGACAACTGACATTTTAAGTCTTCCACAATGCTACACGAGTAGCTGAAGTAGCGCATGATCACTGGAACACCTTTCCAGGAAAACTACTCAACGATCGTCTGTCTAAGTTAGAAATGTATTTCTCATGAAACAAAGCGAATATAATCACGCGTATAGTGTTCATTTTAGCCCTGGCATATGGGGATTATTTTCTGAACGAAAAGGAACTACGTGACTTTGTCCAATGCGTGATTTAGTGTTTGTATGTAAAAGTCAAAGACATCAGGCGACTGAAAGCAAAGACTATTCGGTTTGTAAGCGATTGGAAAAGAACGTTAAAGATGAGTACATCACACATTTGCCCGATTGTACATGTTATTCTTGTTTGGCTCTATTCCATATTGTGTTGTCATATCTTCCACCAGCATCACGGAGTCAGTTAAACTTGTCAAATTCTTATTTCACTAATAAGACGAGTCGATTTCGTTCTAATTTCGTGAAAGCGTTGTGTCCGTTTCCGTTTTCGAAAACAGTATCCGAAAGCAAACAATATATAGGTCACTTTCTTGTAAGGTACAAACATGTATATGTATTATGTTTTTTCCGCAGCATTTAGAACGTAGCATTTCAACGAATGAATTAATGTCCCCTCAAGGAGTTGTGAGAAATCTAAAATTGTAACTTTTAGTTGTGGATTGTTTCTGAGAAAGAAAGTATAGTGGTAGTTATGCTGGATTTCTAGGATATCTCAGTAAATCAGTGTAGCCAAGATCAGAAAGGGCGCCACTTGGTTAACCGAAAAGGGCTAATAAAATGCTTAAACGAATCCACTGCCTGTAACTCTTGTATTTACAATTTGACGAGTTATTCGTTAAAGTTCAGCTCAGCCGGGCTAAACTGGATGAAAGTGGCTAAGTCTAAATATTTCTCGGCTTTATGGGAATATTCGTCCATAGCTTTGTTGTATTCTTCGGTGTAGCGAAATAGCTAGATGATTGACGGAAGTGTACAAAAGTAACACTTTTGTTTTTCCAATAGGAAGGTAACAGGCCTACAGATAATACTAGAGGAAGGACAAACCACGTATCAATGTATTTAGAGTCCAAATCTCTGGTGGTTGGTATTCACATAGTACTTTATGATTCCCTAGACTGAAAAATGCATTGGTCAATGGCTCTACTCCAATGTAAGATTGTCAAACTTAGCGGTTGATATGGTAGCAAAAGTCGGTAGCAGACCAGTTGATTAACCGTACGATTCAAAACACTGGATCTCTCGATGATCCCAATGACATGATCTGAATAGCAAACATGGTCGCACAAGTCTTGACCAACTGCAGCTTAATACTCAGGGGAAATCGGCCGGTCTTCTCTGTATGTCTAGTGTCGTAATTCAGTCATACTATAGCGAGCAATGCATATGTTCAAAAGTAGAGCAAATACTTTTCATATATACTGAACATCATTCGAATTTTCATAAGTTCCTTATTCTGTTTTTACGTGCATATACGAAAGATAATTGCGTCCCTGACGCGGTTAAATTTTTTCATTAGATTCGCTCGAGTGTTTCCCATGTTTTCTACCTTTGAGTGAAATAAAACCGTTTACTCTGACAGTGAAGCGCTTCATACCGTAAACAAGTGTCTTGCAGTGGTCATTGTTGACAATGATCATGACCTGTTGCGTTATGTATGAAGAGTTCAATTTCTCGGAAATCCACTTGCTCTTCAAGTGAATCAACTCAGGTGAAAGCATCGTGTTCAATACTGAATTCGCAAATAAGCTTCGTTTTGGTATGTACATGAAGCCAGTAAAGCTGTCCTTATCATGAGTTTCGCATTCTTTGGTCTTCTTTACCGACGCGCTTTCTATGTTAGCGATCCAAGAGGACGAAGTTAATTTGATAAAAGCTATGAATATGGCTTCAGGTCAGTTTTGTCTTTTGCTTCAGTCGATTCCCGTCTACGAATTAATTGGCCCCAAGGAAATTAATCCTGAAATAGATAAAGACTTGAAAGAAAGAGAAAGATGAGATACTCCTGGAACAGTGTCTATCTGCTGGCTAACGGAAGTCGCCGTATAAATGTTGAAATCTTCACTATTACTAATAGAAGAATTATAAATTACCTACTTTACTGACGAGGTTGAGCACTTAGCGAATACTCCAATTTCTTAAATAATTTTCAATGTTCACATCGCAATTCTTCACCTTTTTCCGCGTATCATACTAGGAACATGTAACCTCGACTTAGTAGTAGATCAAACTTAACTACAATCAGCCATTATGTCAGAGAGCTACGCAAACAAATTTCTCCGTGTAACCTCAATAAGGCAATGGTTCTCACGGCATCAACCTCAAAACTCTTTTTTTCACACTGTTTTGGGAAACGAAAACCTTCTCGTGTTGGTTTGTAGTTGATGCTTTGTTTTCCGGCCTTAATGTAGCATTGTATTTTGGCTGGTTTTGAGATGATTTGAGGCAGTTTATTAGGAAGACACCCGGCACCAGGCATTAGGGTTGGACGTTTCTTATGTTGAGAGTTATGGACTCCTTCATTTTACTTTTACTTTATGTCTTTTTTATCTTGAATTTCTTTTCCCGTAGTCCCCCGCAGTTAATAAATGTCTTGCCCATGTGTTTATTTTTTTTTTCTGAATGAAGCATTGTCTTTCCATGGCGTGTTGGAGTGTGAACCAATCATAGTCAAGGTCACCTCGTGATGCAAGCGTGGATGACTTATTGATGCTTCCGAAGATAGGGCGGGTGACTTCCTGTCAATCATTTCAGAGAAATACTGTGTTACCCTAAAATAATTCCATACACGCTTCGAAGATAAAACAGATAATTTGCCTTTTCGGTATGAATTGAAAATAAATTATGACGGAGGGAAAATCTTTGATGAATGGTTTCTGGCGATTTCGCAATTTAGAGCGGTTGACCATTTTTATGAGCAATTGGTCAATACTATCACGATTTGTTATCATAACATTCCTTTCAACATACACAAGTTTCAAAGCCCCTCAAACGTTGCCATAATGTGACACAGAGAAAAGCTTTCAGCCTCAAAATTCCTTTGACTTTGTTAAATGGGAGGCTACGATCATAAAGGAGAATTTTCAACTGATGTTACTCCTTTTGTTGAAGAAAGGCAATCAAACTAAAAGAACTGTACGTAATCCAGTCGTTTGTATGGTATAAAGCTAACCTATTTTTAATTTGATGATCTCGCAGTCAGCTAGTTGAGATTCGTCGAGAAAACCGTTAAGCTAAGCTAAGAAACACGAATTTGTAAGTCATCAAAGGCATGTTCCTTACACAGTTACTGATTATAAGGTCAAAGGCAACGTTCAACATGATCATACGCTGTTTGAATACATTATCTATTCGAGAAACGTTGCAGAAAAAAACTTCAGTTGCAATTTATTCGCCTGTGGTACTATTGAAAGCAAATCAGCATAATGCACTCAGTTGGCAGATACATATTATGCTTTGGCTACGTCGCTTTTCGATTTCGCTTTACAAGTATGACTCATCTATCGAGTAGTCTGAATTTGTAGTCTACCTAACGATGCAAAGTTGTCAATAGGAATGCTCACAATTTACTGAAATGCTGAGGCCGACACTTATTCTTGTTGACTGAAATACAGCAAAGTTCTTGAAACGATTTTTTTCCTTCAGACACGATTTCACCACGTTGCTGATTGATGATGAATTCGTTATACTTTCTCGCTCAAATTGCAAAAGTCGGCTGGGAATTTTCTATCAATGAAAAGTTAAAGCGTGTTTTGCCGTGTACCGCTCCTTCACTTACAACGCACACGCTGCCAGCAAAAGGACTTACACAAAGTTATCAAACGCTTAGTTTGCTGGCTGTGGCAAAATTTGCGCAAAACATATGCATAAAGCATATTTGATACATAATCTTGTATTTGCCTTATGGTTGTAAATTTTGCACTGGTGCACGCTTACTGTAGTCTCTGGAAGTCTCTTTCGCGGCTGTTGTTTGGTCCCTTTACGCCACGGGACGGGGGAAAGCGCGTTGCGTGACAATACCGAACGACGTCCGCTAGGAGACTTCAAGAGACTACAGTAAGCGTGGCACTTATGCAGTTTATTTCCGCTTACAACTGTTCAGACAACAGTGACAACAGACCACAAAATACTTGTGTCTGAGTTTATTCCATTTATACTGGAAGGGTCTTTTTTACTCTCTATCGAACGGTATTCGTTTTGGAAACTTGCTAAGTTAATATTCTTATTCTTTAACAAAATTTAAAAATCAATTTCTCGGTATCCCACTTCAACCTACCCATCCAAAAATGAAATCTTGCATGCGTAGCACGCCTTTGTTTATAAAAGCTGCGCAAGCAGATTGGGGATGGGGAGACGGTGGCAAACCTGGGGACAAGTGACAAAGTCTCCCACAATCCTACATGATTAGCTAAAGTCGCGCATGATCAATCAAACAGCTTATTTGGAGTTTAGAGATTTACGGGACCAAAACCAGGACTTAAAGAATACGTTGGAGTCTAAAACCGAAAAAATTGAAGTCCTGCAAAGGGAAGTCAAGGATCTGAAGAGCCAAAACGATAAGTTGAAGAATTCTTTGGTTTCCAAAAATAAAGAAATGAATGCTCTAAGAGACAAGATCAATACGCTTGAAAATGAAAAGAAGACTTTGGAAGTCGAAGTTGAACGATTGGAGAATGAATTCCAGGTTTCGAAAGAGGAGAACAAGAAACGGGAGGAACAAATAACCAAACTAACCCTGAGTTATGACAAAGTTTCGAAGAAAATTGAGAGAATGACTAAGGATCGCGAAGAAAGTAAGGTTGAAAACAAAACTTTGAAAAGGGAAATCAGCGATCTTCGAGATGAAAACAGTGGTTTAAAAAAAAAAGTAGATGATCTTCAAGAAAATATCCAACGATTGGAGTACTCTGAGAGGATTGGAAGCCTACCTTTGACAATGGGAAGCCCCACTCCAGTTGAGAAGGCTGCGATTATTCTTGGTGAAATGCGCACCCGAGTGCTGGCGATGATGTACCAGAAAGTGCATCCAGATAAATATGAAGACGATTGTTCGTACACACTGAAAAACATCGAAGAAGACATCGAAGACATAGAAGACGAAGGAGCTAGACAAGAAGCGAAGTATAAATGGGAAGAGTTGAAAAAGAAACTAAACTGGAATAAAAGCCTTCACCCCAGAATACTGAAAGCGATCGGGAAGGAAAGAAACATTGTAGCTCACCCTAGGTCGCTTACGAAGGGTTTACTTCTTCAATCAGTAGAAGACATGGAAGAGGCAGGAAAACTCCGAGGCTGGATGTCTTTTTCTCGTGTCAATGAAATAATAAACGTATGGGAACTTCTAGGACAAATGGAGTAGTGGAAACTTCAAGAATGGCCCAACAGACTGATACACGTATGTACAATTAGAATATCTGACTTCTTTATTGTTTGGTACACCTTGAGCGTTGGACTAGTCGATATATGCTGTTGGTATTAATTGTACCTTTAGGGAAAAGCGATAAATTTCGCAGAGGTTTGCCTCTAGAGCGATTCAAACATTAGTTATAGAATAGCGTTGATAAGGCGTTTAACCCTTCTCACCGTTCGAACAGCAGTGTTTAAAATGGTTTCAAACCAAATTCGGGAAGTGGGCTGTCTTTGAGCGTAGTTCAAGTAGTAGAATGCTGGCTTGCAATTCATGATCTAGAGCAAATAGTTCAAGTTGGGCATCGCAAAAACTGTTAGAAATGAACAGAAGATGTGCACAAAACCTAAGACGATTAATCGAGACAGGGTATGCAATGGTAGCCAAAGCAAAATCTAAATGTAACACGCTCTAACATTCATCACAAGCTTTGAGTGTCAAAAATGTTAAAGCAGTAAATACTTCCATAGATATATTTTATTATCTTTATACAATTTGGATCTTATCGCTTAGTAAATTTATAACACGAACATTTATTCATCATGTTTCGTTTCAGAACTGTTGCAGTCCAAGTCTTTCCTAGTTTTGTATAGGGCTACTACAAACAATCTATTTCAACATACATCTAGTTTTGGTTCGATGTAACTGAGGACATAACGTAGTATGTTCAGGTAGACTCACTAAGATCCTGATAGAATAATTTTTAGCAACAAAGGGTTTATTTCGATGATCTTGCCTGCTCTCGCTTTATAGATTATAATTTCTTTAATGGCGCCTGAAAATAGTTTTAAACTACTCACCTAAGTAAGAAGAATTATAGGTCTGAACAAGAACAATTACTGTATTCCTCTCCATGTATGCTTATACGAGAAGCTCGAAAAGTGCTTCCCTCTGAGTGGCAAAATTCCGAGAAACTATAAGGATAATTGCTGATTTTCTTTTCCGAGAATTCAACCGAGTGGAACATCGCTTTTGAATACGAGGTTACATTTCAAGAAAGCAGAAACAAATATTTGCCAAGTAGTCAATATCAACCAATTATGACAAATATTGCACAGGAAGTTCTTGTGGGAATAAACTAAGACTATTACCTTCAGATGGTAAGGAAATCCTTATTTTTTTGGAATGGAACATTTAAAATGTTAGAATGTTGTTTGTCACTTCATGAATATAATTTGGACAAGGTCCAAAGGTATTCCCATTTAAGGTAAGGGTAATCACGAGGATACAGTGGCAGGATTGGTAGGAACACCCGTGTAGCTCCACGTTGCCATGAGAATCAATAGCCATGGACTCTGAGTTTATTCTGACAGCCGTATTGTTGAGCGATCAATTGGGTGTCACTCGAACAACAGACCTCAGTCGTGACAGAAAGTTTTCACCACGCACAAAAATGCACTGCGGTCACTTTCACTTTCGAACAATTTATCATCCTCGCTATTTCTGTGATTATTATACTACTTGTTCTTCTATATTAAAATGTGATAAAATAGGCTATCAGCACCGCACTAGTTCTTAATTGCGTTTAAGCGCTCACCCTGCTGGTAGGAAAAGTAAATAAGCACCCAACTTCAAAGAAACAGAGTTGATCCCTAACAAGAAACAGCTAGATATGTCCATTAACGTTGCTCTTAAGATAACTCAAGGCTGTACAAAATTTATTTGAGTACTGTCCATAAGGAACTGTTGCGAATCTTAAACTGCATGTTTAAATGAACTCTATTTTTTTTAAGTTTGTAACTGAGAGTCTACTCAAAAGAAAGAAAATGACATCATGTAACTGGATTTTCTTAGAAATATGTATCCAATCTCATGCCCAACTGGTGGTTTTACCGGGAAGATGTCCTTATTATGTCCAACTATGTCTCAGTTCTTACGGTGTTGTAGGATAATTGCTCAAAAATCCCCAGTCTTCTTAAAATTTTGGATAGCATCGCCTGGAATAGAACAAGAAATATCTGTCCATCTAAATGTTATTATTTTACAAAGCCGACTACAGGGTAGGATTTAAGAACATCTACAAGACAATGTAATACTTTTATTACTAAATACCCCTAAAATAAGCTTTCCATATTTAATTTACCGACCACATGATGGAAGTATATAATAAAAATACTTGAAAAACTAATCAGAGAATGTTTAGAAATACATTTGATGATGAAAATTAACGATCTCGTCCCCGAATGAAGGATTATCATAACTTCTCAAATGTGACAAAATGAAGTATAATCATTCAACATCAAGATGACCGTGAGTCCAACGGTAGACTGGAGATACTAAGGTAGCGCAAGTCACAGAGTGAAAAATGGCGGCGAAGAAGGCGTCCAAGAAAAAAGAAGATCTCGATGCTCTGCTACAAGAAGCAACAAGTTTGCTTGGAGAAAAAGAAATATCACGAAAGAGGAAAAAAGGCCGGAGTGATTTGGAATTTTATAGGGACTCCACCACTGGTTTGAGGAAATACAAGCACAAGTATCGGCCTCGCGAAAAAAAGGTGACGAATACGTCGCTCTGCAGTGCAACAGAAGAAGGTGATTTTACAATATTTTTATCAGTTTGTTGTCGTTAGTTTTCTTTTTACCGTTTATCAAGCTACACCATTGCGGAGCGAAGCGAAAGATAATGGTACTTTAAAATCATTCAAATGTTAAAATTAACTGAGGAAGTTCCCATCAGGAACAACCCGACCCATAATCATTTGCTGTGATTATTAAAAGCCCTTGTAGCGTTTGATATTACCCTCGTAACCCGTCATCCTTTCTTCAATAATAGAGCAAATTGATGGTGTAAGTGCGTATGACGCGGGTCATGAGATGCAATCAGATGATGTGAACCAAACAGGTAGGTTTTTAAACAACTGCACTCGAAGGTATGGGCAATTTTTTTGTTTTTTGGAAAGAGTACCATGTAACCCCATACATTAATTATGCATTTAGACCGGTAGAGTTTGTTTTTAAAGTTATGTCGTGAAAGACAAAGAAGTGGAATGCATAATTAATGTATAGGGTTATATGGTACTCTTTCCTTTTTTTTTTGGTACAGTTATAACCAAATGTTGTGTTAATTTTGATGTATGAAAGCTTTTTAACCATCTCCTTTATGGCTAATAATGAAATCATCCACTCATTAAAATTAAATTTATTTCACATCTTCCCATTTATTTGCATGTTTTAAAGTTTCCAAAATGTTTAAAGCTAAAAGTTAGATTTTTGTCTTCATACAGACAATGAACTTCAATCAACTCTACTGAATTGCCAGGAAGTTCTTGAATCATTCCAGAGCCTGGAAAATAACTGGGAAAAGCGAATGGACAGTTTGAATGAGAACTGGGAGTCATCAAGGGAGCTGATTTTCAAGTCCATTCTGCTTACTCAAGGGTCACATATGTTAGGCCAGTTGTGTGCCATTTGTGCCAACCCNCAATGTTGAGAACAAACATTTGAACTGTAATGTTTACATGTGTTAATATTAAAAAGACCAACATGCTACAGAAAGAGATTTCCAACTCAATTTTCTTAATTAACAGGATTAATTTCCAGGGTAGCAACACACAATGTTGAGAACAAACATTTAAACTGTAATGGTTACATGTGTTAAAAAATCCAACATTCTACAGAAAAGGATCTCCACTCTAATATCTCATCCCAAGATGTCTCTAATCTTCATCTATTTTTTTGGATATTTCCTTGACCATTACACTGCTTACACAGCTGATCACTGTCTTGCTTGTTTGGCGTGCCCTAAAATTTCTTTCATTTTCTCAGATAGGCTTCCAGAAGTAGCACAAGTGGCAATTTCTTTTGACGGTCTGCTATCACAATACCTACATTTACCCTCACTATTGAAAGCAATTCCACAAAAACAATATTGATCAGTATAACACCTTGGTGGAAAGTATTTGTCTTTGCACTTAGAGTAAGCATCACTGAGGGGATTTTGCTGCCTTAACCAAATCAGTGACATGTGTTCATGTCTAAACACTTTTTCCACCTATTTTTGACGAGAGAGAATTCTACAAAATATGCCAGGTGCTGATGCTTAGCCTCTCTACCTTGCATAGAATTGATCCCAAGGCCAACTCCCAAATCCTCCATTAACTGGTCCGAGTGAAATGGGACACAATGTCTTATTGTCCAAATACTAACGTTGGTGGAATAAAAAAGAGATGCTAAATTAAAATACATCCTGCAATCCTCTTTTAATCTAGGCAAATCCTCTTTCTCAACATGCGAAACTCTTACAGAGAGAGACAAGGCATTTCTTATATGAAGACCCATTCTTGCCATTGACAAGGCAAAGAAATTCTTTGGTTGCTCTATATCTGAGCCATCACCAATGAGATCTTCAATGATGAACATGAACCCTTGGCAAAGTTTTTTGGTCTCTTTGCCAGTAAACCTGAACTCAAAATCACCAGACTTTCGTTTTTCCTTTTGTAAGGTATTAATGAGCTAGGGCACCTTACAACCTTTTTGGAACTCTGTTTGCCTTCGCTTTCCAGTGGGAAGATCAAACTCAAACATTTCTGAAGAATGCAACTCATTTTACTTCCTCTTACTTAAGATAGCCCCTTGTAAATAACACTTAAGGTTCTTTCATAATTCTTTGCTGACTTCTCAAAAGAAGCAACAGCTTTATTTACTACTTTGGGTACAACTAAGGTATTAAACTTTCTAGATCTACTGCATAACATAGCAGCATCTTTGTTATAAGCATAAGATACAAAAGTGTTCCACAGTCCATTCAAAGTATCTGTTTTGGAAACTTCATCAGGTGTTTGAGGGCAAGATTGGATCATCTTTGCTGCATCTACTCTACGCTTCCTTCTCTTTGAGGCAATTAATTTTTCTCTGACAAACCAACCGTACAGTCACTGTTTTCCTTGTCTAGTTTCGTTGGCACAGCTGAGCCTCTTGGTAAGTGTACTTTCTCATCCTCAAGTAAGCCACACTGAAAAAGACAGCACAGCTTGATTTCAGAACAGCAGCTTCATTAACGAAAAATCCAGTTTGTAGCCATGGATGAGCACGATTAATTTATAATTAATTATAAAGTTGACACAAATGAGTACAATTGAAGTAAAACCTCACAGTTTACTCTCCTTAAATAATTCTTATATTGTTGCATTGTTCGTTCCATGAATGTCACTCATCCATCCCTAAATTTTGAGACAAATTTATGCGATCAATAACAATGCAGTTTTGCCCTTAATAATAGATACCCAGATCACAACAATATTTTAAATGATTAGTTTCAGTCATCCTCCAGCTGCTTTAATATATCACCTAAGTAACACTCCAGTATAATCAATACGGTGCATTCAACTGAAAACAGTATCCCTTTAAGTAGCTTACCTTTCTCCCGAGTTCCATTATTTCACCCTGCAGCTGAACATTCTTTTCCTTTAGTATTTTTGTGGCCTCCTTAGAACTTGAAATCTCCCGCTCAATGTTTTCTAGGCTTTTTCTCGCTTCAACAGCCTCAATGCTCTTACACTTCGCTTTACGAGCTCACTCTCCCATAGGAAACCTCTCTCTACTTTTCATGCGCTTGGACATCTTGGTCTAAAATCGTGAAAATGTCGTCAATCCTCGTGAATTTTTTCCCTTCACGTCTATGTGTCCATAAAGAGCAATCGTATCGTTTCAGATTTTCATCACATGCAATATTTAAGACCACAGCAGGCCTCAAACGTCGCCAAAACAACCAGTAAATGCCCCGATTACTTTCACGACTTTCCTTGAGCCAAAAACTTTAAAAACTAATCACGAAAGTCAACAAATTAGGTATCAATGTGAAGCTCTGCTCTTCGGCTATGATTTCAAACATACCAAGCACTTTCTTTTTCATCACATTAGCAGCCAGGCCTCTAAGAAAAGTGCCCTGGTTCAACACGATCTCGTCCCCGAATGAAGGATTATCATAACTTCTCAAATGTGACAAAATGAAGTATAATCATTCAACATCGAGATGACCGTGAGTCCAACGGTAGACTGGAGATACTAAGGTAGCACAGGTCACAGAGTGAAAAATGGCGGCGAAGAAGGCGTCCAAGAAAGAAGAAGATCTCGATGCACTGCTACAAGAAGCAACAAGTTTGCTTGGAGAAAAAGAAATATCACGGAAGAGGAAAAAAGGCCGGAGTGATTTGGAATTTTATAGGGACTCCACCACTGGTTTGAGGAAATACAAGCACAAGTATCGGCCTCGCGAAAAAAAGGTGACGAATACGTCGCTCTGCAGTGCAACAGAAGAAGGTGAATTTACAATATTTTTATCTTTTGCAACACGATATCCCCCTAAAATTAACGAATACAGTTAATTGTCAAAACGCCTTAAATTTACTAGAATGATTAATCCAATGTTCCAAACAAGCTGCTGGCCATGTTGCCTTAACAAAGCTCATGCAAGTTTTAAAAAC